GTCAAAGTCAAATGATCTGTTGATAATTCATCTTCGGAACACAAATGAAGATATTTTTGATGAAATCTGAGAGCTTTCTGTCCCTCCAGTGACAGTTACGCAACTGTGGTAGTTGCATAACTGTCACTGGAGGGACAGAAAGCTCTCAGATTTCATCAAAAATATCTTCATTTGTGTACCGAAGATGAACAAAAGTCTGACGCGTTTGGAGCGTCTTAAGGGTGAGTAATTAATGACAGAGTTTTTATTATTTTGGGTGAACTATCCCTTTAGGAGCAAAAGGAATAGACTGTTGTCTTGTGACATTTGTCATAATCTCAGCATTCTTGACTCAGTTAACTAATGTATTGCCTCTGAACACTTCTGATGTCTAGTTCTGCCGTCATGGAAAGAAAGTTGGGCTTCCTACCAGACGTTTACAGCGCACCTCAAAGACCTCCCAGTCGAAATCAGCCTCTGAAGCTTGTGTCATTTCTACTTTGATAGAGTCTTTTGAAGGTTGTTTTTCCATAGCTTCAGAGGAACCTTATTGCCACAGGACAATAAAACAAGTACATAATGAAGCCAAACCATGAAAAAAGTCATTAAAGCAAAACCTCCCAGCAAAGAGATCTGATCAAATGTTATCTGACCTTTATTAGACTTTATAACTTACAGGACAACAAAAATGACAAAGGTTACATTGATTTGAAAGATACGTTTATGACCGGTTTCACAGACAAGGCTTAAGCTAGAATGCATGTTTGAGCCGTTTCAACTGAACACAACTTGCACTGATTTATCTTAAAATATGTCAGTGACATTGTTTTGTCTGAAGATTCACACCAGTAATGTTTTTTTCCTAAGGCACGTTTATAAAAGCTACTTAAACGTCCTTATTGAACTAAGGCTTAATCCTGGCTTAATCTAAACCCTGTCTGTGAAACCAGGCCTTGAAATGTAATTCAATATGCACTACTTGCCTAAAAATAATGATGAAAGTTAGACTACTTTTAAAATACAATCAATTATATTATAACTTTACTCTGATTGTAAAACAATGCCTGCTAATGCACAGTTACACATTTCCTAAAGTATGTGAAACAGTAAACATTCAAGAGCAATACATGTTTCAAACAGTAATATTCGACACTGTTATCAACCGCATCATGTTTCATTCAGCCGTCCAGTTATCATCGTTTTAATCTAATTTTGTGTAAAAATCTGTTAACTTTCAGGCCTGTCAAAGTGCATTGCATGTGGATTAGCATACAAACATATTTAATATTTAATTTTTCCTAGGCTGGGGATCACTTTTGGTCGCTATACTGTATGTAGATTTAATTTTTTTTTAATTATCATTCTGTTTTGCATCATTTTGACACATGTCCAACACAAATTTGTTGTCGCTGAAGGAGGTTTCGTCTGAATTAGCCGCAGATCCTGTTGCCTTACGGAACCTATTAAATGCGACCACAATAAACAGTTTAAGAGCTCGGTTTGCTTTCCCCGCTTGTTAAATGTATTTACATGCAATATTTTCCATTTGGAAGAAAACCTGCGTCACATAAATGGAGATTACACGAATTAGCTTTCATATTGTAAAAGTCATTTGATCAGGGCTTTGATGAGACATGCTTCTCTTTCAGGAGGGATTTTAATGACGCTCATGGGAGGTTTTCCTGAATTAACATTCATACTAAACATCCACAACTTAATACTCGGTGTCCACCAGTTTCCTCTGTCGGCAGATCAGATAGAAGCGTTAAAGCCACAAATGTTACACATGTGCTGTAATCTGCCCGTCGAGAAGGTCTTGACTCTAAGATTTTTAAACTTGTTTGATTTGATGTTTGTTTGCACCTCCAGGTTTTTAGATGCGACTTTTGCACAGGCAAGCACTAACATTTTCTTCAGAAATCTAATGCATTGCAATGCATGTAATGCTCTGATTGATTTACCCCCAATTTCACTGACAAAGTTTGAGCTGTTTTAACTGAAATCAAAATCTTTATTATTTTTTTTATTATACTGTAATATCTTAAAATATGTCAGTGCCATTGTTTTGTCTCAAGATGAACACCGAACATTTATAACAGCTACTTAAATGTCCTTAAAGGCCTAAGTCTGGCTTATTCTAAACCCTGTTTGTGAAACCAGGCCTTGGAGTTTGAACTATACTGTTTTTTTCCTGCATAAAAACAGTTATTTTAGCCTACCTTTTAAATTAAAACAATTATCAGTATACTTTTGTGATACCAAAATGTGCAAGTGTGCTGCCAGATTGATAAATGGTGCCATTGAGTTTAATAAACGGCTATTATGAAGAGGATTTGCTCACAATTACTAACTTCATTCTTATCAGTGTCGCTGATATCAAATGGCACTATTTGTTTTATGGCACTATTTTCTTCCCTCAAGTTATCCAGCCCTGGTTTAAATGGCTTGAATCACAAAAATAGATCCCAAGAGGTTTTTCTTTCATTCTTTGTAAAATGCTATGTAATTCGATCTGTTCATTGTGTAGTAATGAGTGATAGAGACAGAAGGCAGAGGCTGTGATCAGGAAGATTGACGCTAGAGAGCGCAAGAACACAATATGAACACAAGCGTTCAGCGCTATTAATGACATATACTTCTGAAAACTAATAATGAATAACATGACTATGCATTATTTTATTTCCTTTGTATTTAGTAGTTTCATGTTTAAATTGAATTGGTTTAAAAGCATGAATAGGTTTGTGTGGTTGTCTGTAGAAGAAGCAAATGTCAGTATAGCTTTTAATTGATGGGGTTTTAGAGTTAAAATACTTTTACGCATAGGCTATTTCTAAATGTTTTAAGGATAATATGGCAAAGGATTAGAAATTACATGATTAGAGTTTGTTGGGTTTTGTGCCTGTTTAACCCCGTATTTATGGCTTGAAATCCATTAATAGAAGTTTAAAGAAAAGGGTGGGTGATTTCAGTTGGCTATAATGAATAAAATATATAAAAGTAGCTATAGCTAGGCCTACATATATGTGCGGTTTTTTTTTTTATAAAGATCAATATTCATAGAACACAGATACAAGTAGCTTTATCGGATGCGCGAGATTAAAACTGACAGAATTCTTTTTAGAACGTTAAGAAATTCTAGAGGGAAAAATCTCCCGCTTGAAACTCGCTGAATAATTCGAATTCGAAGAAGAAGAAGAAGAAGAAAACCTCATCCTGATGTTTGTTCACAATATTTGTTCCTACTATATTAAATTCAGCTTTAAAAACTCAAGACTGTCTGAACTTAAGACTGTTTCTGTTCTACAGACACCAAAAGGCCTACATTAGTGTTAAATAAGCTCTCCCACTGCTAATTATTAATAGGTTAAAATAGTGATCGCTGAATTAAAATAATGCAGTTTGTTTGTTTGCCCTTTAATTAGGCTAATGCCATTTGTATAACGTGTGAATGAAAATTAGTATTATTAAAGGCTACAAAATAGCCCGTCAAAGACTCGATCGCGAAAAAAAATACTCATCTTTATTTATGTTTTACTCATCTTTATTTTATATAAAACGCAACATAAAAATAAAATAACCTATACACACATACGGTACATCAGGTGTTTAGGCTATATTTAGGTGTGAGGCATTAACAAAAGAAATCCCTCTTCTGATCCATCTACATAATTTTTACTTGGAAAGATAAAAAAACTGTAAAAAGATGGGAAATGTTCAGGAGAAAGTCGTATTTATTTCATGGAGAGAGCGTAAATCAGCCTGTCATAATTAGAAGAGAGATGAATACTAATGAGGAAAGTAATAAAGATACAAACTCCCCCTTTCTTTTCCTCTCCTCGCAGGTTTATTGCCCTGAGATGTCTGTCTGTGAAATGAATTTGCGCACATCTGAAACACAAAAGATTCTCCTTATGAATTTTGCATGGATATTATGCGGAGAGAGATTAAATCATCTTTTATCTGGGTCTTTATTAATCATGCAGATAATGTCATGAAGATAAAAGCAGCTGCGCGAGGAATCAAATGATTCTGATTCTGAATATGCTCGATTTTTGCGCCTATAGCCTATACGTTGAATGGGTTGAGTGAGAAATTGTTTATGACAAAAGCAATTAAATAGGCTACAATATGTTAAAATAGGAAGATCAAATGTAACGAGTTAAGTAGGTTAACTATATTCTATGAACAATTAAAGTTATTTTTAATTATAGCCTAGTCCATATTTTATATAAAGCCATTTTCGTAATTTATTTATATCAACCTTATAAACGTGAAATAAAATAGAATAGAAATAAAACGTTAATGGTTTTGGGACTTAATTTGCTGTTTGTTTTATATCGGTTTATTAGGCTGTTTAAAATATGAAGACGAAAACTGTTAGAATGTTACGTTTTTATACTAAAACGTAGGCTATCATTTAAAAAAATGCTGGGTTGTTTCAACCCATGTTTGGGTCAAATATGGCCAAACCCAACCGTTGGTTTTCATTGTAAATTAAATTAAAAACCGTTTTAACCTTTAAATTGTATTTAAAAATGTAACCCAATAACGGTTGGGTTTGTCCATATTTGACTCAGACATGAGTTGAAACAACCCAACATATTTGTTTGTAGCTTAGTAACGGTACAATAATTAATTATAACAGCCTATTGTTAATAACTATCACCATACATTATTACAAAGCTTTTTATTTTTGCTGTCATCGTTGTTGAAATCATCACATTGAACTCTGAATGTTTTGTGGTCGCAAACTGTAACACCTGACAATATGCCGTTGTTTTGACCTCTAAAAATACTTTAATTGGCATGTGAACCTGTTCGTATATTTTTTGTAGATTCTATAGGTTTGTTTTTACAGTGTTGGCTATTCAATTATATTTTTGACTTGAATAATTCAGATGTTCATGTGCAATCTATATATTTATCTATAAGCACGTGCTAATTATGTATTCAATTTCAATCTTTTTGTAATTGCCCTCAGCAGCACATGATGTGTGTGTGTGTGTGTGTGTGTGGTGTTGTAGGCGGTTCCGCTGTGACCCAACAGCACCAATAGCATCACACGGAGTTGAGGAGAATGACGCGCGCGGACTCCTCAAGAGGAGCAGGGCTCGTGAACGCGATCAGTGAGAGAAGAGCTCGCGCCGGTCCCGGTCACAGCTCACGCGCGCGGCCCCTGGATTACCGGAGGACCTCACGGTTTCATTCTGTTTCTCTCCGAACAACCGAAGAAACAGGCGTCGTTTCTCTGCTTACTCTACACGTATACAAAAAGAAAAGGCAGTTTACTTTTAGTTTCTATCTCGTCACGGTCCGTGTGCAGCTGAAGTCTGGATCCGCTTCTTCACTTCTTCTGGACTTCGCAACAGGTCCGAGATCAGCTGAGTCGAGATGCTGGACGGAATCAAGATTGAAGATCAGTTCAGGACTGGAGCCGAGTCTCTGGCACTGATGCTCGGTGAGTTTCTCACAGAAACTACTAACAACAACACTTTACTTTACATCGAAGTGTCACACAGTCGTTTCAGAGAGACGTCTGAACTAAAGGAAATATATGGGTGACACTTTACATTTAAAGTCTCATTTGTTAGCATTAAGCTAACATGAACTAACTATTTTAGCACATTGATATTTGTTAACTTTTTTTAGGCTAAGTGCTAAATGTTCAAGTTAGTTCACAGTGCATTAACTAGCATGTTATGTAATGTTAAAAAACACAACTTTGGATTTTAAAAATCTAATAAATGTTGAAATTATCATGACACTCTAAAAAAAATGCTGTTGTATGAACTGTCAAATGTTGAAAAATCCAACCGTTTGTTTAAAATTTTAAATTACATTTTTTTAACCCAACCTTTGGTTTAATTTTTTTAATTACATTTTTTTAACCCAACCGTTAGTTTAATTTTTTTAATTACATTTTTAAACCCAACGGTCGGGTTTGTCCATATTTGACCGTTGAAACAATATTTTAGACTAGAGTGTAGGCCTAAAATGAATAAATGCTGTACAAGTATTGTTCATTGTTAATGTTAACTAATATGTTAAGAAATTAAACCTAATTTTAAAGTGTTACCAAAATATTCTTAAATACCAATTAGCAACATTTTTGTGCACCTTTTCACGTTTTTACAGCGCTTTTCCATTGGCTACAATTAAAAACGATAGACATAGGCTACTAGATATGTTTGCATAATCAACTAGTTAACTATAGTGGCTATAACAATAACGAGCTGTAATAAAGAGCTGCTCAAAATAATTAAATATTACATGTTCGTCATAGAAGTATAGCTACTATATTGCAAATGGCTACTAATATAAAATGTATTTTTTTAACCTTTAATCAGCTTGTTTTTGATATTGCACCTAAAAACAACTGATTTCATATCAATTGGAAACATGGATCATGCTTCTTATATGGATAAAGGTTTTTTTTTGTAAACAAAAAAACAAATAAACAGTTATATTAAATGAGAGTGCAGAAAATATAACACACATGTTTGAGGTTAATGTTGCAACGACAGTCAGTCAGAATTACCAGTAATAATGTTTTGCCAGATAACATCGAAATTAACTGGTTCTATTACACATTTTACATTCTGTAAAAACATCGGTCAATTTGGCATAATATAGCCTATTTTAATATGTTTAATTTATCTAAATAGCTTACAATTCCGTAGGCCTATAGGCGCTATTAAATGAAATGTCTGTATGAAGGTCATACAGACATTTCATACTAAATGATTATTTCATAATATTCATACTATGAACCTGATTAGCCTTTATACATTAAAGTAGGCCTTCTTTTTTACGATTTTGAACTGCACTATTTAGTCTCGAGATGTTATTATGGAAACAATATTTTTTTAGTAAAGCGAGTTCCTAATGTGGCATTTGTGAGTGTGTGATGTATATTGCTCGTGCGTTGCAGGTTCAGACTGCGCGCATCCGAGTGTGTGTGAAGGATGTCACAGACCCATCTCTGACCGCTTCCTCCTGCGCGTGAACGACTGCTCGTGGCACGAGGAGTGTGTGCAGTGCTCGGTGTGTCAGCAGCCTCTCACCATGAGCTGCTACTCCAGAGACCAGAAACTCTACTGCAAACACGACTACCAACAGTAAGAGCTCGTTCATTCATCCCATGGCATGTAGAGCTTGTGTCTTCTGGCGCGCGACGTTTTCTCTAAAGGAGCGTCGCGATATCAGTTCGCGCGCGCGTGTGTGTTCATAAAGGGAATATTTCGAAGCGATTATTTATTATTTTTGTTTTAATCAAACATGTTTTTTCACATGGCTATATCATCAATTATTTATATTTCGATATTATCAATTTAATTGTTTTTTGGCAAATAATGACAACGGCTATAATAACAAGATAGGCATACCCTAGCCTACTTATTGTTGTTATTATCAAGTTGTTATTATTGTTATTATTAGGGCCTATTATATCTGTGCAGATATTGTAAAAGCAAATAGGCTACTTAAATCATAAAATATAGATTCATAGGCTAATTTGAACGTTAAAGCACAGTAAAGAAATACATCGAACTAAACGTGAGAATTGGGCCACGATAATTATAATACAATAAACTCGAATAAATGGATAATAATCTTGTTCTTATTGCCGTTGACGTGTTCACTCATAAATCACAGAGCTTGTCGTGAATGGTTATTATACTCGCCTGCTCTTTATGATTGTAAAACAGGTTCTTTTGACTTTTGTCCAATTCCTTTTTAAAGAACTCTTCTTCAATCATCGCGACATTGTCGCGTTCAGTCTGACGTCACGCTTCTCGTTCAGTTTTACAGCAAGCAGTTTAAAAAAAATATTTTAACTATTTCTGTGTCTTCATGTGTTTATTTAATGTGGTTTAATAATTAAAGTTTTTACCATTGAGGCCTATTTATTATTGCTTTTTAATGATATAGCTTATGATAGTTTTAATAGCCTAAACGTTTAGTTTCTTTTAAATTCTTTTTAATAGTGTCAAATAGATAGATAGATAGATAGATAGATAGATAGATAGATAGATAGATAGATAGATAGATAGATAGATAGATAGATAGATAGATAGATCGATTTACTCTAGACAAAGTTTACACAGAGATAGTTGTAACACAATTGGAGAATTATATGTATTTGTATATTTCTCTTATTAGGCTAAATTACACACTTTGAATTTTATAGCATAAACTTTATATTTACGCTCCAGTCAACACACTATGTATCAGACCCCCAACTGTGTGAAGTGGCTTTAATTGCATGTTATTTGTCTCTTTCAAAGTAGTATTTATAAAGCAGTGATGAGGTACTTAGTGCTCTTAATTCACACCCGGCACTGCTTTTTATGGCTCTCTTTTAAGAGAGATTAACAAGCAAAGCCACAGAACGCAGAACACACTCACACACACTCACACACCTCCATGTTTAACTCGCTCTAATTGACAGACACGCTTGTAATGAGTCGAACAGTAAATCTCACTTATAGAGATGTCTCTGGATTAACTCATCCAGTCTGCCGTGAATAATAATAATGATAATAAATCACATTGTTTATGTTGTCGCGTTAGGTTTTTTAAGTGATAAAACAAGAGTATTTGGACTCTCCGTGGTGGTCAAATGTTAGTTGAACGTTCATATTGTGAAGTGTTTGATTTGAGTGAGTGTTTTGTGTGTGTTATACTGTCCACAGCACTGCAGATGCACATATATTTGAGGGTATAGACAGTGATGAATGATTTTCAAATGAGGAAACATCCTCAGAATATCACTCTACACATGCATGGTATGTTGTAAAAGTCGGAGGGAACATTTTCAATGTTATGTTATATGGAGAGATATATGGATATTTCTGGTTGAATTTGTGCTATTCTGTGAATTTCACATGTCTATCTTATCGAGCATTTAATTGTGATCGCTGGAATGTGCTGTTTCGTGTTGATTTCACACTCGGCTCATGACATGATAAGGCATGCTCAAACTTATAATTTAAAAGCATATTTTGTTTCTATAATATGTCCAAGATCATAGCGTTTCTGGATCTAGTCAGCGCTGCTGATTCTATAGAAGCTTCTTTTCAGTAAAGCATGGAAATCCAGTATATTTAAGGACAATATGCTCTTTTTGCCCCAAAATGTATTATAATTTGTGTACTTTTGATTCCTTTGTGGGTTTTTGGCATGTTGCTATTGTACTGCATACATATAAATGTTGAAATATTGGTGTGTGTGTGTATATATATATATATATATATATATATATAGCCTATATATTATGTGTGTGTGTGTGTGTATGTGTGTTTATCTAAAATATCCTGATTGATTACAAATATAATATAATGTAGAATATGTATAACATAATCATATTTATATGATTTTGATTGGGCAATATGGTGATAAAGTAGTATGCTTTATTTCAATTTATTATAATTTCTATACATTTGATTTCTTTGTGGGTTTGTTGCATGTTTTCTGTAAAACGTTTTATTGATATTGGGATTGCGATATTCTGTTTTTGTACTAGAAATGCTCAAAAGAGCAAGTTTTCCATAAAGTCTGACATGGCAGAAACCCAAACCCAAAGAGGCCATAAACAGTGTAATAGCCGTCTGTATATGAGAGAGAAAATATCTGCCACTTTACAACCACTGGTGGACCCTTAGGAAACATAGACACAAACACAAGGTTTCTTTCTGAAGCTCTTTAATGGCTTTGACTGCCATGCTCAGTGTTGGAGTGTGGATGTTGTGGGTCAGGTCTAGCTGTAGTGTTTTGCTCTGAGATACAGAGAGCAGGAGTTCCTGAGATCCTGAACCCTGATCTTCCTAACGCAACTCTCTCCTCTTTCTATGTTTGGATTCTGATGCACAGAGAAATATCTCCGATTACAGGAACAACAAACATGCGTATTAGCCCTTCAGAAATGATGTGGGAATTAGACGTTTGCTTCTCTATAGTCTGTTCCATCATTGCCCCCTAAAACTGTTTGTTCACTTGAGTCACAATTTAAAAACTCAATGTCATTGTGTTAACAAAGTATCAAACACATGCATATAACTTCACTTTTCTTCATTTTTGCCCAATTACTTTTAATAAGCTGGCGTGGCAGTGTTTTATTTTAAGTGGATAGATGTAGGGTTCAGGAACCTGTTGGCATTTACTTTTTTATTGCAATGACATTCTTTAATCGTGTCTTAAGTGTCCAGAGGGCTGGATTTCAGTGACATAATCTAGAAATATTAATGCATGCAATTAAAATGATATAATCTGATTTGGTACAGGATATTTGATATGTTCAAAATCATATTATATTTGTGACATTTTGTGTTTACAGGCAGATTCGTGTTGTTATACTTGACAAATATTGACATGATGCCAGCTGTTCAATGAAAAGCTCTTTAAATATTGGAGAAAACACAATGCTATTTTGAGCATTCAATTCAGAAGGTGTAAAAACTAATCTAGACAATTCTCATAATGTGTTAAAGAAATATTATACACCAGATAAATACTGTATTTTAATATGATCCGTATTGTCTTTATGATTATCCAAACGGTTGTACAAGCGTTTTATTGATTGAGTAAATGCAGATATGACTTGATGCAGGGTGATAACAGATCAATATAAATTGAATAATGTCATGTTTTTAGGATTATGCTTTTCTACCACGTATGCCTTATTCTTTTAAGCTCTTTATAGAGGAACAGGTCATTTGGGGAGAGTAGAGGCTAATGCACGAGCAACAGGAAAAAAACTAAATATATTTTCGGAGCAGATAAACTGAAATGGCCTGGCAAAATCTGTTAAGGAACAATAACTAAACAACGCATGATTCTGCAGGATCCTATAAATGGGATAATAGATGTGTCTGACTCTGAGCTGAGGGTGTGTTTTCTCCTCTGGGTCATCGCGTGTGTGTGAGATCGTTCACTCTGCACACTGTGGCCTCCTTTGAGAGAGAGTGTGAAATACACACACACACACACACACACACACACACACACACACACACACACACACACACACACACACACACACACACACACACACACACACACACACACACACACACACACACACACACACACACACACACACACACACACACACAGTTGGGTTTCCATGTTTCATGGGGACTTTCCATGATAGACAATAATGATTTTTATACTGTACAAACTGTATATTCTGTCATCTAACCCTATATAGAAAAGTTTCTGAATTTTTATATTTTCAAGAAACATCACTTAGTATGATTTATAAGATGTTAAGACACATACACACACACACACACCCTTTCTTTCTTTCTTTCTTTCTTTCTTTCTTTCTTTCTTTCTTTCTTTCTTTCTTTCTTTCTTTCTTTCTTTCTTTCTTTCTTTCTTTCTTTCTTTCTTTCTTTCTTTCTTTCTTTCTTTCTTTCTTTCTTTCTTTCTTTCTTTCTTTCTTTCTTTCTTTCTTTCTTTCTTTCTTTCTTTCTTTCTTTCTTTCTTGTTAGGTTGACAATCACTCAGATGCAGTATTTTTTACATTTACATACAAATTCATATTATATTTATTAATTTATACAGTTGTTATATTTTTATTTTTGTATAACTTATTATTTATATTTTATCTATATCCCATGGCTAACTAAAACACTTTAATATATATATATACACTCACCGGCCACTTTATTAGGTACACCTGTCCAACTGCTCGTTAACACTTAATTTCTAAGCAGCCAATCACATGGCGGCTCATTTAGGCATGTAGACATGGTCAAGACAATCTCCTGCAGTTCAAACCGAGCATCAGTATGGGGAAGAAAGTTGATTTGAGTGACTTTGAACGTGGCATGATTGTTGGTGCCAGAAGGGCTGGTCTGAGTATTTCAGAAACTGCTAATCTACTGGGATTTTCACGCACAACCATCTCTAGGGTTTACAGAGAATGGTCCGAAAAAGAAAAAACATCCAGTGAGCGGCAGTTCTGTGGGCGGAAATGCCTTGTTGATGCCAGAGGTCAGAGGAGAATGGCCAGACTGGTTCGAGCTGATAGAAGGGCAACAGTGACTGAAATAACCACTCGTTACAACCGAGGTATGCAGCAAAGCATTTGTGAAGCCACAACACGCACAACCTT